AAAGGATCCGGTGTCAAATAAGGCACTCATTCATCTCTGAGAGCTAGATCCAGATCTAAACTCTCGATTGCATTTCCACATAGCCTAGTTTGCTATATGCAGGCAACCTGTTTCGGATCCATGCTATTACAATTTTCCAACTTTTGCAATTCACCTCATTAGAAACTTGCCATTACAATTCGATCTCTATCACATCAATGCCCTGTTCTGCATCTCCCACGTACCTAGACCCACTTTCATGCTGTGTATTTTTGTATCTCCTCGTCTTGCCCTTGTGGACGTGGATAAGGCACCATTCATCTATCCCCCGCACGCCATTGCTGTCGTCGCCTTCCTGCCTTTGCCACCGCCACTGATGCCCGCCTGCCCTTTGTCGCCTCCCATTGCCAACGATGAGGGGTAGCCTATTGAGGGATGTAGTGGCGACGGGCTCCAGTGGACTTGGGGATCCCAAGCTCGCGATTGTCCCTACTCATGGGCTGCCTGAGGTGTGGTGTCCCTTTGATACTACGGATTAGAAGCAAGCAATGGGATACTCTTGACGAGACCTTCGTCAAGTGCCTGAACAACATCAAAGTAAGTAAATTTGTCTTCAATTTTGAGTTTTTGGATGGTTTTGAAGCGGCTAGGGTTTCATGGGATGCAGGGACCCAAAAACATGTGGCATCATCATGTCCGAGGCACAGTGTGATGCATACATACATGACCTAGAGGAATGCCAAATTCGGGCGAAGAAGATGAGCCATTTCAGTGCAGGAGACAATGGACATGGGTTTGTCGACCGCATTGTGGACCTGATGCAAGAATTGGTGAAGTGAAGCAAAAGATTGGCAATGTTGTGATTGATCTTTAGAGCATGAAGGTGCAAGTTCAGAAGCAGAAAATGGATTATGTTGTCTTAGCAGCAATTTGTGTAGGTGTAGCTATTTGGTGTGCTTATGAGCAAAATTTGGAAGTGATCTGTGTGAACTTAATGTAGGTGTAACTATTGGTAGTCTTAGCTGCAATATGCCCAATTGAAAAGAAGTTACAAGCTTTCCTCATACTTACCATGAAAATTTGCTCTAAGGCTACCTTCAAACCAGACTAATCTTTTGAGTCTTTATACCAAAGCCACGCTCCAATTTCTTTTTTGCATTCTTTGCTTTCTTTGTTGGGTTCTTCTTAACCCAATCTCCAAGCCTATCTACACACTAACCCTAACCAACCATTTTGCCTTCTTTAAGCTTGGTGGTAGCACAATTGTGCTCTATAGGGAGCACTTTTTTATGAATACAGGAGGGGTTGCCCCCTACTGGCTTTTATTAACAATCGAACAACATAACTTACAAAAGGGTGTCACGAAACAAAGAAGGAAATAAAGAAAATAAGCAAAATTACACATAGCCTTCTAGCCATTGACTAATTTGTGGTTCATATCCAGCTTTTGCTCTAAGAATAACTTGATCAAATTCCTTTCTGAAGATGACTTTGCAGCGTTGAAGAGATGGTTCCTGCAGGAAGCACTTCGATATACACAAAGACAGGTTCCTTTAAAATGAATCAATGTAATGCAGTTGCAAATATGTACAGGTAGATATGATAAACAAAATATAGAAAAGAAATTTACCTATACTTTTTCTTTTAAAAATGGTGGAAGCATGTATGTGCTAAGGGCATTCCTCAGCAGCACACCTTGCTATGATCCTTGTCTTGCCTATTTTGAAACAGTAGCAAACTCAAATTCAACCTTCACAACATAGTGTCTTATTGCTTTTCTGAATGCAATGATATAAAAAAATAACTCTCCCTTCACTATTTTGGGGTTCTCACGATCATGCAGTACATTAGTCTCTAGAGACAAATTCATCAGATGGTGTGCAGTAACATATATAAGGTTTAGTATTGTCAGTTGGCTATGCAAACTCAGTTGGCTATGTTAGGTGGCACTGGATCATACATGGCCTCATCATCAACTCCCACATATTTTTCATCATTATAAAAAATATCGGGCTCTAATTCAACAACTGCCTCTGGATTCTCAGGAGCAACACATGGCTTAGTTGGCTTAGTACCACCACTAGTGGGTTCTTTAGGCATGTTAATATCATGAGTGCCTAACTCTGCTGCATCATCAGGAGGAACCACACAGAGAGGCTCCAGCGCATCAAACTCATCTTCCACACAAATTGACCTATCAAATACCCCTACTATAACCTGACAACTCATCTCATCCTTATACATTTCAAAGAAATCAAGCATATGTATCTCATCAACAGATCTGGCATCCTTATTCAGTCTTTTGTCATAGAACCAAACACTGGGTGCCTAGTTAGTGGACAGATTCAATTCAGTTGCTAGACTTTTCAATAGCAAGTCAAGTGTCAGTGACCCAAACTCCACATACCACTTAAACACACTGCCTTTTGTGTATGATTTCCTATCAGCTGAGTCTTTGGAAATGAAACCTTGGACTTTAACCTCTAGCGTGAGCATCCCATCCCTACCATGCAGTAAATTGAACCCCAAATCAAAGTGTATACATGCAAAATGGAAACACCGACCATCGACATTAGCAAGCAAATGCAACTCTAATCCCCAACTGTGATGACCACAACGAGACCAAGGATGCAGGAAGGGTACCTGCTTTCGACGTCCTCCATCATCACCACACCAGTACGACGATGAGGTGTGAAGGAAACCGACGTCGCTATCAGGGTGCCTCCATCACCTCCATGGACCAGCATCAGTGGTTAGGGTTCCTCTCCGTCTCCTCCAATCGCCGCCGACGCCTCCTATCGCCACCAACAGAGCATGGGTCATGGTTCGTGGGATAGATAAATGGAGGCCATGTGAGATTGCCTTATCCACATTCACAGGGGCAAGATGAGGAGATACGAAAATACGCAGCCTAAAAGTGAGCCCAATTACGTGGGGAATGTAGAATGGGGCATGGATGTGATAGAGATCGAATTGTAATGACAAGTTTTCAATAAAGTGAAATGTAATGATGCATTTTAATAAAAGTTGAAAAATTGTAATGGCACAATAAAAAACCCTTTTGGGTCTCTCCTTGTCGGAAACCCTGAGCCCTGAAACCTCGCAAAGCTGCCGCGCGCGTCAACCCAGCAACTGAACACCCCCACTTTGTTCGAATCCCTACCGTCGCTTCTCCAATCCGCACGAAGCGCCCCCAAAATGCCTCGACTCATGCTAAAAATGGCAATGGGGACCGATCCGTGATTCTCGTGAAAAATTCCCCTATTAGGAAATAGGGAGGACTAAATTTCCCCCTATGGGGAACTAAACACAAAAAAAATTGCCGCCTTTTAGGTCTGGCACGAGATTCATCGGGTCCGAACGTTCGGACCCGATCCCTCCGTCGACGACGCGCAGGAAATCAGCGCGCGTGGGAAATCGACGGGCTACGGTGGGACAGGTACATTAGTTTCTCTGTTATTTTCCTTTCTTCTCATTTTTTTTTTCTTTTTCTTTTTTCTTTTTCTTTTCTTTTCTTTTTTCTTTCTCTTTTCTTTTCATGTTTCATTTTTTGTTTTTATTTCTTTTTTTCTTTTATGTGATTTTTATTATTCTTTTTATTGTTTATATTTTTTATGTTTTTTTTTTTTCTTTTTTCTTTTCTTTTCTTATTATTTATTTTTTTCTACAATATAATTTTTATATATGTTTATTTTTTTTGTTTCATGTGATTTTTCATTATTCTTTTTAATTTTCATTTTTCTATATTTATTTAAATTATTTATTTATTTTATTTGTTCTATATATTTATCATTTGTTAATCATATTTTGAATGTGTATTTTTCTTCTTTGTTGTTTTGCTCTAATGAATTGTTTAAATAATTTTATTTTTTTACTTCTTTATCTTCCTTTATATATGTGATGTTCACGTGTATACATTGTTGTTATATATTGTGTTACATCATGTTTACATAGTATATATATAATGTTCTATGATGTTTTTTGTGTTGTTCATGTAGTATACATGTGATGTTCTATGATGTACTCAGTGATGTTCACGTAATATATATGCGATGTTCTATAATATATTTAGTGATGTTCTATAGTGTTTTTGTGATGTTCACTTATTATACATATGATGTTCTATGATGTACTTAATGATGTTTACGTGATATATATGCGATGTTCTATAATATATTTAGTGATGTTTTATGATGTATTTAGTGATGTTCACTTAGTATACATGTGATATTCTATAGTATATTTTAGAAAAGATGCATGTTATGTTCTTTTAATTTTTCTTTATTACGTGTTTTTATTTTTTTTTCTTATGCTTTGGTCTAGATTTTATTATTTTTTATATATGTTATGTATTTATTTATTTATTTTTATGTATATTATAATATCAATATCATGAAATCTAAAACTAGAATACCGTTTTTCTAAACCGAGAATATTTTTCTAACGAAGATGGAACATTGTTCTTAGAACCTAAAACATCATCTCTGTTCAATATAAGAAAATATTCTATCTTCGTAAGATAAATGTTCGTTAATAAAATTTTATCTAAATATATCCATATATGATTTTGTTTTGAAGCGATTTACGGTAAGAAATTCAATGGTATAATGGGAATTTAATTTGGATGTTTGTTTTACGTGTCATGACTTTTTTTTTAGTTTGTTGCATGCGTGAGCTGAAAAACGCGGATGAGGTGGGCCCTTATCTGCGTAAATTAATTGCCGCCTCAGGGATCCACCCGCATGCACGCGCTTCCCGCCCTTTTTGCGCGCGCTGCCGGCCGGACCCTAGCAGCCCCCAGTGCGATCATCACATCGAATCTTACGACACATGCGTATTAAATGGGACGGGGATTGCACAGTTGGGGACGAGGGAACCTAATTAATCCATCCCTAATTATCAAATAGAAATGAAAGTGCTACAGTATCTAAAAATTTTTGCATCGATGTGCTATAGCTAGCCGGCCCACGAAAAGCCCATGCTCTGGCACCATAGATAATGCAGCAACCCTAACTCATCGATTACAGCTGTACCGCCCAGTTCCACCCCACCGCGCCGCCACCAAATGCGGGGTAGCCACAAATGCGAAAGCAGCGAGGCGGACGGAGTCCCCGATGCCGTAGTTGCCAACGCCGAGCGCTCCCAACCTTGCATCCGCATCCTCTCGACACGCTCCAACTCATGGCCTCGCCCCCGTCTCCGCCTCCCCAATCGCCGCCGCCCACATCGCCGTCGCGGCCTTCCTCGCAGTCTCCGCGTCCGATTTCGACGCCGCGGCGAGGGCGCTCTTCGCGCGCCCCAACGGCCACGCGCGCCGCACGGTCGACGAGGGAGGGTCCCCCGCGCTCGCCTTCGATGAGGTCATCGCCACAGTGGACCAGTTCGAGGCCGCCGTCGGGAACTCCTCCTCTCAAACCGTCACGGAGGAGCGGGTCAGGGAGCTCCTCGCTGCCGAGTGGATTTGCCGAGAATCTCACGTGGATTTGCATTTGCACTGGAGGTAGATTCTTCAAGTTTGCCGAGAATCTCACGTCCACGTGAGATTCTCGGCAAACTTGAAGAACCTACCTCCAATACAAATCCAATTTCAACGCCAGCTGTTGAGAAGGTGATTGACGCGCTCAAAACAGGCTGTGCTGACCTTCAGAGTGTTGTGGAGGATCCGCTTCCAGCTACGAAGGCAGTTGCAGATGAGGTATTGGCTGCAAGGTTGGAGAAAGGCGTTAGTTTGAATGCTGAAGAAGTAAGAGGTCAACCAACAACTTGTGGCACTGCAGGCCCGAGTGCTCCTCATGATAAAGACAAGGGTCCAAGTACAGGTAAACCTCACAACCTTATGGATTGGAACCCAACAGCACGGACCTTTCAGGTGAGCATTTGTTTTTGAAAGAGTTATCTTTGCTTATGAACTTTGCTAAATTGAATTTGTGATTGTAATAACTAGCTTTTGTTTCCATTGTGATTGAAAATGATATCAGTGCCTATATCATGTCAATATTTTTGCATTAAACATTGTGTGTGTACATTTTATTCATTTCTCTATTGATTGAGTTTTCAGTACGAACTTTCTGCTCCTGCCTACATTCCCTATGTTTTCTGCAAAATCTGTTTCATGTGTTATGAAATATTTTGAGGATATATGCGTTTCACTTTAGTAAGGTAGCTACTGTAGCACTTTCGTTTGTATTTGACAATTAGTGTCTAATTATGGACTAATTAGGTTCGAAAGTTTTGTCTCGCGATTTCTCACCCAACTGTGCAATTAGTTTTTTTTTGTCATCTACATTTAGTACTTCATGTGCCGCAAGATTCGATGTGATGATACTGCATAAAACTTTTAACTAAACAGGCCCTTAGGATCACAACCGCAAAATGTTAGATTCTGGTCATGTTTCTGGAAAGAAAACACTTGTTTGCAGTGGGAAGAGTCACCTGGTCCTGAGAGTTCAGAATCATCATTACGTAGACCGCACTTGCGTAGCCCAAGGAGAGTACCAGTTTCTCCTTTGCCACCGGGAGAAAACAAAAATAGGCCTAGAAGGGCAAGGAAGAGGTGCTTGTTTGAAGAAGAAACACTAAGAAAGGGTGTTGAACAGTATGTTTTGTCTTGATGTTCATATATTATTGTTTGACATCTCAGCTTTCTTGTTCTAAAACACTGGTATTTAGATTGCTGTTGTTGTACGTTCCTCATTGTTTATGGTAGTGGCAATTGGAAGGACATTTCAAATAACAATCCTGACGTTTTCATCGGCAGAACACTGGTGGGTACTTGGTTACTACAGTGAAGTTTCTGTGGTTGCCAATCAAGGTACTGACGGGTTTTATGTATGAATGGTATGATGTATTGTAGGTGGACTTGGAAGGATAAGTGGAGGAATATGATTAACTGATAATGTAACGGAGAAACGTGTAGGTTCACCTACAGGTTACTGGAGCCCCTGCCCCTTCGGACAGGACTAACTTCACGCTCTAGAGCACCTTCTAATGGTTTACTAGGGTGAAGTAGCTTAGCCTGTTACCACTTGCCACTGTAGTCGTGATTTATTTAGCGACAGTTTCGCTAATCTCGGCCAAACTTTATGACATAGTAATGCTTATCGAGTGGCTGATTCACCACAAGTGTATTATGAACTCTTTTATATTTTTATTATGTAAATGTTGTCCCCTTGCTAGCCTGTTGTCCTCGTGCTTGCATTGTAGCTTTACTCGGAAAAAAAAGGGCATAGCCAGTGCTGGAGGCTCCCACATGAGTGGGGTTTAGGAAAGGAAAAAACCGAGGCAAGCATTTCCCTCGTAAATCTACGGAGAGGCTGTTTTGAACCCACAATCTATTGACTCAGTGAGACAGCTCTTATCACTGCACCAGGCCTGTCCTTCTTGGAGCTTTACTCGTACATGTAATATATACAGTGGATGAACATTTTTCATTTTTGGAAAACATAAGACCCTTAAAAAAAGATGTTACAGAAGCATATTTCCCTAAGCAAACAACTCTACTGTAGCATCTTTGACAACACCGTGTTGGATTTGCTTCAACAAGTTCTTATCATATTCACTAAGAAATGGATCGCTCCCATCAGCGTTACGATATAACTCCAATGGCAGATACTGGTCATCGATGTGTGAGACATCTTCGCCTTTTGAAAGAAGTAATTCGACCTGCCTTCTTTTGCGACGGTAAATGGCTGCTTTCTCTGGATCTGCAGGAACATAAGTGTTCCAGTTGTGCACATGCTGTGCATAATGTTTGAATAATTTGAACCGGCGACCCATCTCAGCATGGTCACGTTTCTTGTGGTTTACTATATGCCGTGGCCACGGACCAATGGCTCATTAAAGCCCACGGACCTTTGTCTCATGGAGAAGAAGAAAGGTGCCAAGACTTGTAATCGCAATAGGAACGGGATTTCCCTATCGCCCTTCGACCCTCAATCAACCAAGATAGTGCTAGGCAAGACCATCTGCTTAGGAGGCACCACGATGTCTTGCCTGGCACTAAGAATGGACTGTTGTATGTAATTGACCTCTCAAGGCTCCACTCCTGCATTCTGTATCTGTAAAAAGGTGGGGAAGGGCACTAAGAAATTGTAAGAACTCCGGACCTCAATACACACTCAAAGCAAGAAGTAAGGTTTTCGCGTGCCCGGGGGCCTGAACCTAGGTAAGTCTTTGTGTGCTCATACGTGAGAGTTGGGCGACCATCACCATTGTGTAAACCCCACTATCGAACTCCAAGTATCCCTAGATCAAGATCTGCAGACCTCAACATTGACAGAGACTCATCGTATATTTATCTGTTTATTCTAGATAAGAACGTAGATGCTGCATAAGGCACCAGAAAGAAAGGTGACGAGTCGGTGACGTGGCCATACACATAATGGCATGCAAGTGCCGAATGGTAGCCATGTGGCACTACCTACCCAATGATCCAATGAGGGTAACTTTAACCACCGAATCATACGTTGAGTGCAGAAAAATGCACAATAGTGCAACAATTAGTTTGCTATCATGGGACTATTTATACCCCTTTGACATGTCATTTGGTGTTGGTTAAAGCATTTATTGCCATAGGAAAGGTTCCCACTATATTCGAGATCCCTATCCATCAGATTTGATCAAGTGAACATTAAGGCAATTGGTGCTAGGTTTAGTGATAATTTGTGCTGATAAATGCATCACTTTAGGTGTTAGCCAAGAGTTAGGTGAGGTTTGCATATATCTCTATGCTTGTAGGTGCTTGTGCGCACCAAGAATTGTAATCCGAGGCTTGTGTCTTTTGAAATCCTCAATCTATGTTTGTTGTGAAGTTGTCGATGTTGTGAAAGCTAAGAGAGGTAATCGTCATTTTGGCTAAAGCTCTACCTAGTGAAGATGATGAGGAGCATTACAAAAGAGGCATTCATATCACTGTACATTGAAAGAATATTTAGCTCAAAGTATGAGCATTCATACGAAGTCGAAGACTCATACTAAATTGAGTAAGTTTCACCACAAGAAACCAAATAGGCTGACTTACACTCATTTTCACCTAAAACAACCTTTTTGTTACACTAGAAGCAGAAAATGTCACTTCAATAATCAGAAAACCAGAAACAAGTATACACCCTCTCATCCAAATTGCAAGAGATTTAAGTTTTATCATAAGTTAAACTTCTCTAACATTTAACCTTGATATATAAATATATTGACATCTAAAGAGTGTGTTTGGTTCTAGGCAAAGTGCCAAGTGAAAAAATAATCATGCCCAAGTATTTTGGCAACCATTTGGTTGAAGACCAAATTTTGTCGCTGTCAAGATAATTTTGGTCTTCCTAGTACAAACCAAGCCAATTGTAGGCCATTTGTGAAATTGGCCACCGCAATTTGGCTTGGCAGTGGAAGGGTTATAATTTATGGTGATAAAAACTCCCTTCAAGAGGGAATAAGGGGAGCAATCATGTGGCAGAACCGTCTGAAATAACATGCTTTCGGGAGGCGCTCGTCTTCCACTAGACACTAAGCACCCTAAAAGTTAGCTACATCGGACAGTTCCGTCGAGCACACCCTACGGGAGAACTCGAATCAATCCACGTTTTACCTCCAGAATCTAATAATGAGTATGAGCTTACAATATTTAGTCCATTTCATATAACAAGAGTTCTTGGAAATTATTTATTATAATACCAGGGTTCAGAGTGCGATAATTAAACAACGGAATAAAAACAAACATCTAGCGGAAACGATACAAGGATCCATCTGTGCCCACCAGAAGAATCCTCTACATAAGAGCTACTCCTCAAGTTGCACCTGCAACAGAGTAAAATAAACCCTGGGTACACAATATACTCGCAAGACTTATCCGACTAGTGGGAATAGTTTCCCGACTCCAAGAGGTATGATAGGCAATATGGGTTTGCTGTTTTTTTTGTTTGCGAAAAGCATTACTAGAAGTACGTTCTTAAGATCAAGTTTAATTAGCAGTCATGATTATTTCATTAGCTAACCATTCTAGGTAAGCACCTGTTCTACTTTCAAGCAAGGGTTGAGCAATCAGAACCATTTCACCATCTTTCATTTTCTAGTTCTTACTACGGTGCTAGACCATAGTCAAGTCGTACCGTCTCACGGAAACAGAGATTCATGAACCAATGTATCTCTGCTGGGTACCCCAAAACACACGTCCCGTTTGTACCCTAGGCACAAACAAGACCAACCCATTCCACTCCTGTCATGGGGTCTAGGTCCCCGTCCAAACTTGTACTCCAAGCCCCCGCACTTGAAACCCGGTCTCAATATGGTGCTTAGACCTCCACCTTTCCCCGCCTCCAATCAGTCAGTCCGAAAAGAGCCAGAACCCATGACAAGAGCGTAACGAGCCTTCCTGCTCCCATAAACAAGTATGTGCTCAGGATAATAAGTCTGTGACCTGACTAACATCCACAGCAACGGACGGTCCTCAATCAACATGGACAGGGAAAATAGTGTAACCAAGCTAAGCCCTATGGTCGCGGGACACAACTCGTCACACCCACCATAACCCATACAATATCCCTGCCCGGTCTCTATTTTTCTTTCATCATTTTTATCATGAGAGTAATTATAATAATCACCTATTGTGAGTAACGGCAGGTTACTCACGCTACCAAAAACCTAAGGATAGCAGCTACTCGAACATGCACTAGTAAAACTCATAGGACAGATATATCTATGCATGTGGTTTCCATAAAATTCCTATAACGTAAATGCACATCATATATATATATTCAGTGATTATCAAAAATAAGGGTTATGCATCGGAGCTTTCCTTGGGCAGGCACGGTGTCAGCTAAGTCAGTCGTTGGTGGCTCTGGGACCTCCTCCTGCATGAGAATCTCCTCCTCGTACTTCTCGACGATCTCCTCAAACTCGTGATCACCGGTGGTCACGATCTCCGCCGACTCATTCTCTATATGCATGCGATGATGATGATGCAACAATTCAGTATTTAGGCAACAACAACTCTTAAAATAAGAATACAAATGTTAAGCTACTAAGCTAGCTCTAATGACTAAGATACTAAACTAACTATCAGCTCTATCAAATCAAGTGTCAAGCTCACCCTAACAAGTGCTTAATTTCCTAAATCAATGTTATGCTCTTATTCATATTAAAGGTTTAATGGATATGTAGCTACCCTAATAAACAAGCTATACTAGGGCTACAAAAATTATAGTAAGCACATAATAATACAATGAAGCTACTGTAAAAATTTTAGGATCAAAGCTATCACCAATTTACCATACAAAATCCTACAATAATCAACTTAATAATATTAAGCATTCTCATACTATTTAATAGCTCCTAGTGTCAACACATATAAACAGGAACTAAATATACCAACAAATAGATCATAATTTTAGAAACCTAACAAAATTTGTTTTACAATTTTTGGACACCTATATGATTTTATATTAACTACCAAAGATCAGCTCAGAAATTAAATTAGAAAACTATTTCTAATTCCTTAGGAAAATGAAAAGTGAATCTCCCACGCTGGCCCCACACGCTGACTGCTGCCATGACACACAGATGCTGCCAATGCCTTGCCCGCTTGCGTGGCCCACATGAGAGGTCGGGCCACGCTTGCAGGAGACTGCCCGGTGACGGGGGGAAGCCCGCATGCGATGGTGCTTTTGCAAAAGAGACCTCAAGCTTATCCCAAATTACACCTAAACCCATAACACTATTCTTATGTCTCTCTGACGAATTCATTTAACCCCCTGAGTTTTTCCTAATTCACCTACGTACACCCTCGACAACTCTATGCACAAGAGTGATGATGAGCGGGCTGCACCGGTGACTACGCCGGCCACCGGGACACACGAGCCTATCTATCAGGCGATCGCCATCTCGACCAAGATGACTACGTTAAGCGGTGGTGAGGTGGCGTGGCTTTGGGGAAGGCTGTAGGCGCATGGCCGTCCATGATGGCGGCGCAACGGTTCCGGTGAACTAGGATAGCTACCGGCTTAACCAGCTAGCGTGCGAGCAGCAGGGGCTCACCGTGGACCTGGCCAAGGTGACGGTAGAACCGGGGACTGCCCGAGCGAGGCTGGCTATGTGCCACTAAGTGGCATGGCGGTGCACCACGGTGGACATGACCCGCCAACATGTCGAGAGGTAGCGGTAGAGGTACGTCTAAGGAGTGCAGGGCGACGTAGAGGTGGAAGCGAAGCTAGCGGTGCACTTGGATTGGGCCGGGGTTGACAGATGGAGGACTGCCCACGACAATGGTCGAGCTCGGCCTTATCGACACGGCGGCGGGGAAAAACTCCAAATTAGAGCTTGGCCGTGCTCGCTTCAAGGCTAGGACGGGTGGGGGTCAGGTGGCTGAAGGATCGAGATGGCGGACTAGAGGGGGGGTGAATAGTCTTTTCTAAAATTAATCGCGTCGGCTAACCGATATAAATGCGGAATTAAAACAATCGGTCTAGCCAAGACTACACCCCTCTATATATGTTCACTAGCATCTTGCAAAGATACTAATAAAGCAACTAAGGTGCCGGGCTAGCTAGAGCTCTCCTAAACAATTCTAGGAGCAAGGTCACACAAACCTATGCCACTAGTACTTTTTAAGTAACAAGGAGCTCCTACACATGCTAGTAAGCAAAAGCACAAAGCTAACTAAGCTCACTAGCAATGCTCAATAACAAGGCAACCAACGCCTAATTAGAGAGCGCAAATACTTAGCTACACAAACTAAGCAATGTGACTAACAAGGTTACCAAAACCAAATTAGCCCACGCAAGGAAGCT